CTCGCGTTTGAACCCAGCTTCACCTACTGCGGTCTGGAGAGCCAGGCAGTATCGTTAGCCCTTGGACAATAAGTGTATCTCATTGCCTACTGCACGAAAGTGCATGTGGTTACTGACTCCATTGCATTGTGCAAATGCTAGAGCCTGCGATGAGGCATCAGGTGGGTTTTTTGCATAGTGATGTTCGTTAAAAATGTCCACTCTCCTCGATTTCATTTAATTTCCTCAGAAACATACATTTAAAAGGATCTCACTGCCCTCATTTGACTTAGCAGAGACTTAAGTACGAGCATGACGCGGTCCTGTTAGATGATAGCGCTGACAAGATGCTGAGTTTTTTGGACACCTTCAGTAACAATTTGCAAATGTTTGGGATGCGTTCCTCATCATCTAAATGCAAACTGTTGCTTTAGAACTAGTCTGTGTTTGTATCCTCTAACAATCAGTCATGACGTGGTTGAGCACATTGATAGCCTCACTTGATTGGGAAGTTGAATTAGTTCTAATGGGGAAGTGGGAGATGAGATTTTCGCATATAAAAGGTTCGCCTAAACTTTACCAATTTATGTCTTCTGTGGCATTGGCGAGATATGTGGCAGACTTCTAAGGGTTCAGTGTACTACCCGGCAATAGACCTTTGTGTAGTGGTGCCAGGTCCTATTTTGATGCAGGCTGACCAAATAGTACATTCACTAGTATGTCACCACGAAAGGTAGATACAGAAAAAAATGAAATCGAACGTTGTAGAAAGTCATCAAAAAACGAAGAAAAAGTAATATGAATAATGAAATGTGAAGTGATGAGGATTAAAACAATGTATGTATGGATCTATACTACACAGATAGGTTCTAAGTTGTATCGCTTAGTATCGAATCACTGGTCTTTGATTTCACACTGGTCACAACCGAGAAGCCTACATTTTCTTACACGATTCAAACCAACAATTATGGACGTCACAGATTGATGTCTTGTTTTATTTTAACCACCTAAACATAGTTCTTGTCTAATCCTACGTCATAAAATAATGGATCATGGTATACGGTGAGCAGACATGCGTATCACACGTCCCAACCATCGAAGTTGTTGGAAGTTCATATCCTCATTGACTGATTCATCTCCTTTACTACGTCTGAGCACTACATCACTAACGTGGTGGTTCCAGAACTTAGGCAATGCTACGAAGGCATCTGTGGTTGAACACCCGGAACCATCGATTTCCCTGACTTTTAATGGCCATGTTTCACAGCAACATAATAAGACTGGACTAACTTCTGCTCAGCAGATTCGAACCCTAGTAGACAATCGGTAATATACTTTTTGCTTGCGGATATATGCAATTGTTTCCCCTTTAGTTATATCACATATATTCAAGCAATGTATTCCATCAAGGTTCGGTTTTCAGGGACAATGCAATTATAAGAATAAATCATTCGTTTCACCATCTCAAGTCTTGGGCAGTAAAGTAGATGGTTTTTATCAACTGAACCAAGCGATTCAATATTAGTATTCTCACTGTAAGACCTGAATGTCTTAAGCAGTACTCCAAATAGTCAGGAGTGTGCATTTCTCATAAGTCCCGTTATGAGACACTGCTTTACTGTATAGTCTTCTTATAGCTGAGGCCACTTAGTATAATTATTGAAATAGTACGTTAGAATGCAGGTCTTGCTGTGTTGTATTATTTTATTGTCATGTCATTTACTAAAGTTTATTTCATCACTCAGAGTAACACTCGGAAAATTTATAAAATTTTGAATAGTATACAGTAAAGCCGAAGACACGTTTTTCAGGTTTCAAGCCTTGTTAACTGACCTATACTTTGAGGCAACAAAAGTAAATTAAGGTTTTTGTAAGGGACTGGGTCCTTATGCTGCTGATAAGTACACAAGATCTAAAGTTCATGTCAGAGTAACATTTGCGTTTGTCACTGTTGACCTGGGCTCTATGGTTACGCAAGACTGCTTAGAATTCGACAGCAGGCCACGACTATTTTATTTTACTATTTATTTGTTAGAACCATTCTTGTAGTATTGTAGGATCAGATCATTTTTTCTGAGCCATTATAAATAGGGAAAGCACTAAATCATTGGACAGAAGGCTTTTTTTTCTTAACTAACACATAGTTGGCAGTAATTTATATGGTGTTCGGTCAAATTTCTCTTAGAACTCAGCAGCATCGTAACACACTAGTATATGTTTGTAATCGTCGCTTACACATCAGTTGATGTTATTTTAGACCGAAAAATCAGTTTTACGAATAGTCGTCAGTGTTTTGACAACAAGCAGGACTTGCAGATGTTATTATTTTAGTGGTTGACCTTAGTGACTTGATATTGACTATTCTCTTTTGATTCCTGGTTTTAAGTGTGAGTTTTATGAACTGGATCTAATAACCTGTCTTTTGAAAAAGCTAGCATATCAGTTAGTTGAAAGTGAGGGTTGACGGAAAGCCTACTTTCATTTTTAAAACATGAGACTACGTTTGGATTTTGGCCAAACTATTCATACTTTTTTAGTATGAGAATTTACTAACACTTATAGAGAGTGCAAATGAAACTTATTTTAAAATTATATTCCCACAGTAATATATATGCATCCTTGTTTCTAATTATAGAACAACTCAGTAACAGACCAATAAAGGGATCAATAACTTAGGGCTGATATTACCGTATAATATCTAAGTTGTCACAATTAACGGTAGTACTTCAACGGGCTTCACAGGCTCAATGATTTTCACCTGTTTACTAGTTGCAGTTGGTTTAATAAAGGATTTCATCTCAAAGTTACCAGTTAACCACCGATTTACTGAAAGTTTTAGAAAGCAGTCATACTTATTAAAAACGTATGTTACATCTATTTGTATGTTTCCACTACAGTAAGCGGTTTACTGATCCAGAGTGGTACGTTTTAGTAAATAATAAGACGAAGCGTACATGACCTGGAAATTGATTTCTAACATTGATTGTTTAACAGGGTTGGAAGTTTGAGAGTAGCAATTAATACGGTGGTTTCTAAGTATAAACTTCATAATACCTTTCCGAGACAGACCAGGACCAGGCGTTAGTGGGTGGGGGTCAAGTTACCACACTCCATATCATTGAATCAATCAAGAATGTACTAAGATAAAAGATAAAAGAAATCGAGAGACAATCAGTCAGAAGTGATAAAAAGTAATCAAAAAAGGGCAAAAAAGAAAGGGATAGTACCAAAATTCTGTATGACAAATAACATTGGGAAAATGTTTGGATGCATCTGGGCCACGGAGCATCTGAGCTCTGTCATCTAGAGTCTCCGATCATTGGTTTCTGTTGTCGTGTAGACCCTAACTCACAAGTCCACATTTCCCTGCACGGCTCGAACCGAAGTCACAAACTCCAACAATTGATGCCATTTTTCAATCCAGCCGCCTCTAACGTTTCACCATTCTGAATTTATTTCAACCAACATTGTGCGACGGGATAGATAATGACTAGAGATGCATAACACACGTCCGAAACACCTGAGTCTATGAAGACACAACTTCTCCCTAGAATTGTACGCATGAATTTTACGTTACTCTATGACAGTACGACACACGACCTATGTCACGAAAGCAGTAGTAGTCGATCACCTCAAACCTCATATCATCTACCTTTAACAGTCATGTTTCACAACCGCTTAGTATAACAGAGTGAGCTATTGCGCAGTATACTTGAACCTAACAGACAATCAGATATCATGGAGGCACCATAATCGGTGAAGGACAATCGAGCCTTCTATATTCATACAGCGATTTTATCGGTCACTGTCCCACCAGAATTGATACAACTTTCCTGGTAAGTGAAGTGGTTAATGCGCTCAGCTGTTTAACCCCCTGTTGTCAAACAAGGCTCTGTTGAAGATCAGACCTGTAGCAACAGTTCGCATTTGGGTGGTGTGAAATGAATCTCATTCTCAAATCACCAAACAGTGTTTACAGAAGACTGCATCTTGCCGGTGTCTTCACCTAATAGGAGTATGTCATCTGTGTACTATACGTCTATTAAGTGATTTCGTGATAAAAGCAATCGCTGTACATTTGGATAACGAGAGGGACCTTCATAAGTACGTCTTTTATGAAGTTGAATAGGAGTAGAGAGTGGATATTTTTGACAGATGTCACTCAAAGTACACGACTCACCTGCATGATAAATCCTGATATGCTCGAAAACGCCTGCGGGTGTTTGAATACACAGTCTTTAACGCTTATCAGTGAGGGACACCGCCGTTAGATCTCGGTAGCCATCTAAAGTATTCACTTACTACTTATCCAACAAAAGCAGATACAATAAAATTTTTCATATGAAAATGTTTTCATTTCGCCAAAGTATTTATTAGTCTACTGAATAACTTGCTTTTGTATCAACAAGAGTGTAATTCCGAATCAGTTTTGTAATGCTGGTAACAAATTGTGGGTTAACTGTTAAACATGCAGTCCTTGTTCGATCATATTGTATATGGCAATGCACAAAACGTGTAGTTTAGTTACCCATTCCAGTGATGTGTAATAAAACCAGACAGACCAATGAAGGTAGAATCTGCCACAAGAATGCACTGGTTCAACTTGCCACACTTCAAAATAGCATGCAATGAACAAATGAATAAAAAAGTGATATAATGATAGACAAAAATGCACGAAAGTTAAGGGAGTAAGTGTATGAAAGTTACTGTAAACATTCAAGGGTGTACATATGTGCGTTCAATTTTGAGCCATATCAGCAAGTCTCCGAAAAATGGATACATCTTAGTATTCATAACGAAGTTTATCTACCAATATATGAGTTAAACAAATTATAAAGACAGTTAGTATCATCTGGTTACCAATACCGAAATGGGTTCACACTTGTGACTTATCAGTTAGAGAATGAATACTCAAAGCTTTAGGATAAAACATAATTATTAATAGGAATTCAATTCTTTGTGTTATCATACTAAGCAGTTTAAAAAAATGATTTTAGGCTCTTAACTACACTTAACATTAAATGAGTGTCTGGCGCAGACTCCAGAGGGTTGGGAAGAAAGCAGCGAAATTTCAGATCACAGCTTCCTTACACGAACTGAGCATAGAATGCTCGCGTCAATACAGCCCTGGAAGTTTGATTGTAGTTTGGTCTCGTCGCAGTCGCAGGTATTCAACCAAGGTAATTCATCTGCCCGTGATAAATATAATTTTAATGTATATATATATATATATATATATATATATATATACTAATTTAAAACTATAGATATCTTGTTGTTAGGCTAGTATTCTGTGTTAGAATGTCATTATTTTGCATGTATTCTAAGCCGTCTTTCCTTATTTTTATTTATGACGTTAACTGAGTTGTACGTAAATAGTTCAGTTACTTTCTAGTTTGATAAGGTTAACATGTGGTTTTTTAGCAGTATATTTCTCTACATGCATTTTTTACTGTTCGAATTCCATTTTTACCTTGAAAATTGTATCAGTCCAAATGCTACTATTTCTTGGATTCGATTTACTAAGAGATTAGCCCTACAATATTGATTTAGTTTGTCTAGAAGTATTTGGAATGGTGATGCTCCTTTTATTACACGAACTGAAGGGTAAACTGAACAGTGTAAAGTGGAGTTAAGTAATCCATTAGCCGAACGAATAGGTGTAGAGTTGTGAGATAATTAACAGGATAAAAATTAAGGGCATCACCGATAGGAATGATTTTACTCTATATCACCCAGAGTCGTTATTTACAGATATTTATTGTTCTGCGGGATGGCAGTCAGAAAAGCTACACATTCATGTGGATGAGGCTTCTAGGAGAGGATTTCATTTAGATAGTATTATAGCTTTACTCAAATTAACGTTAAATCTCAGTTCACTGTTCACAGCTACTAAAACATTTCAGATGGGGCATATTTAACTAATTCATCACTTTTACTTCAAGGCCTCCTCTAAAGATTATTGCTTAATCTGTTGTTCTGTCATGTGCTTGTGGAACTAATGTATCTACCGTTCAGTATATGGGGTCTCTTTACATCCTTGAGATTCATTGATTTTGCCTTGAATTCATACTTTACAATGTAATGCCTTGTTAACCTGCAAGGTCAACCTGTGTCAAGTAAGTAAAGGCAGCCCTAACTTCCCAGTGAACTAGAGTTCATGGAATCCAACTGAAAGTTTTGTATATTTTAAGATGTTTTATTAGATATACCTATCCGAGTAAGTTTAGCAGTTGCTGTATCGCAAGAATTGACATTTAATTTAGTATTATGCAACCTAGTTATTATCCCACCAGCTATTATGGTTTACTGGCATTTTAGTAGGCTTCTGAGATGTTTTTCGAGGTTTTAAAAACCTATTAAAAAATTGACTGAATATATATTTCACCTCGCTTTTGAATAGTGTTAAAAATTGAGCCGACCACTTGATGTACAAGTTTTCACTTCTTTATCTGGATCTGTTGTTCATTAACTTAAGTATTCAATTTTCAAGCTTTGGATCTTGGTTTCAAGCCCTGCTACACACGTAGTTCGGGTTGGACTACCGGTTAGTATCCTAAATCTTCACAGTAAGTGTGACTCCAAAGCCTAATGCATAAACACATGTAAAAAGTTGAGTTACATTAGTCAACTAATTATTTAAATTATTAAAATTCATTTGCTAATTTTAGATTTGATATCGACTTCCTTAAATCTGATTCATATCAAGCCCATTCATTATGAAGGCTGATATATGTTCAAGTGTCAGTTTAACACACCAACTGGCATCATTGAAAAATGCCTACATAAAAGTTTCAGTTATATTATGATTTCTTCAGTTTCTCGTTGCAGAAGATTGCTATACTTTACTTAAAATCATTATCATTTTCTGAAAACTTATTTTCAACTGATCGAAACTTAGGCATTTGAACCTACCAAAACATCAGATAACTCGAACTCATTTAAATATGTATGGTCAATGCCAGAAAATGTAGAATTTGTCACAACTTTATATCGAGGTGAAAAAGCAATCCAATACGAAGAGAAAGAATGGATATGTCAAATTGAAGACGTAAGTATTGGATTTTGTATACAAGTAGATGCTATGTGTTTTCCTTTCCCATCACCAAAAATTTGTTCCTCTAAGTGTAAAATAATGCAAAATATTTTCAACGTTAATGCTGTGGAATTTATGCCGCTAAACTTCGCCGTTTGCTTGATGTATTCAGCGTATCATCATCATATTAAGAGAACCAATATGTGGTTGCTGAATTATACTACTCAATCCCCACAAACCTGCAAGCTGGATGTATTTGTTCGGTTGTTATTAAATTTCTGGATGTAATATATCATCCTCCATTTCAGCTTTTTGTTTGGTTTTCTTTACGTTTAATTCCCTTTAGTTTTGGGTTAGTATCTTCAGTTTATGATAGATTATGAGACTAAAGTCAGCTTATAGTCCCTGTATCTATACAACTGACTAGTAGTTTTTTATTGTTGCTCTAATACTAAGGCTATATGAAAATTCTTTGAAATTCATGTGGCACTTTCGTACTTGACTCTAAAATGGCTCATTTCAACTTTCAAAATAATCTGTGTGTATATAGTAAGTGCAATGTCATTGAACGTAAGTTATTGCATAAGGGCTTAGTGACATTAGCCTATCAGAAAACAGCTCTTTAGTGCCGTATGTGGTTTGTCGTAGTCCAGGTAGCATGATTTAATTACTTTTTAGGCTAATGCTATAATAGACTACTGTGTATAAAGCCAGCAGATGGTGCTGAAATTTTTTTATCGTGTCTCTGTCAGACTGTTACGTTTAATTGCGAGTTAGTTTCTCCATCTGTCTAAACTGGGATGTAAGACAAGAGTAGAGTAGTCGACCGGCTTATTTATCTTATTTATACTATATTGTAAGTGGGATGTCCAAAAATTCTTTACTGCTTGAAATCAGTATTTAAATTTATAACATTGTAGTTGTGTTTTAAACTAGTAGTAATAGTGTTTCAGTTATACGACGTAATAACTTAGTGATACTGGTGTGGTTTCTATTTTCAGGTCGGACCTAGAAGTACAGGTTTACTTTCTGGACCTGCATCCTCAGCTAGACGACGTGTACTTGCTACAAGACAAATTGATCTGGCTGAATTTGCTTCAAATTTGCCTGTTCAAACCAATCTCAAAGTAGTCATGCGTCTCGCTTCGAAGAAGTTAACATCTGCGATCGTTCTACTTACTCTAAATTCAGTTATTGTAAAAGAAGGCGATGCCACGTTAGTTTTGTTTTTTAAACCCGAAACTCACCATTTAAAAAATTCATCTAGAGGGATAATAATGTTGCAACTGACAAACAGATAACCGAAAGGATAGGTTAATAAAATCTTCGTGTGATAGTACTCACTGTTTTGGTACTCAAGCTACTAGCTTGCATACAAATGGTTGTATTGTTATACTTGAGAAAGACGAATCGAGTCTACGTAACATATTTTCTCACACCTCGAGTATTGGTTGGTTAAGGTCCTAACATTTTCGTTCTCGGTAACTTTATTTACTTGGTCGGATTTCCTAGGTTGTCTCTGTTGTTATGACAGAAGCCGCATGAAAAACACTACAAGCAACCACATGTAGGATTATTTTAAGGTGATATTTACAACATGGTATACCGCACCCAACTGCACTAGTGTAACAAAGAATCAAATACGCGTGGTGAAAATCTAAATCATAAATAAATAGCATAAAATTTCTTCATTGATAAGAATGCTGATATTTCATCATATTGTCTTTTATTTGCATCTTGTGGCGTGTTACATTGTCTTTATTATAAGTTCTCATATTTTGCACCATCATCCTATTCTGATTGTTTCACAGCCTGTCAGTCGGTGTGCATATACTGTTAAAATATGTGTTTCTTTTACCCTATATGTTTGCAATTAGTTTCAACAAAGAGACATTTTGTTTAAAGGTAGTAATTGAAAGTATCATAAAACGTGCTCTCTTTGAGGTCTCTGAAATATTTAAGTTGCCGACCTAAATGGTTTTGGAATTTAGCATCGCGGTGATCAGAGTTTGGAAACCCACTCATGTCTCTTAACAAGATGTTAAACTGGTAAGCAAATTAGCGTTTTGTAAGGTTGTTCATGGTTTTCGATATGTTGAAATCATTTCAATAATTAACGCATTTTTGAAGCGAAAATGAGAAAGTAAATGGTATACTGATTTCGCTTGAAAAATTGTACGCCACTCCATTAAACTAAGTTCTGTGTCTCAGTGGGTGGTAAAAAACGAGAATATCACGTGTTTATTGATAAACGTTTCTCGCTGCTTTTCCTAAGCTCTTTTTTTGTTACACAACAAGCACTGCTACAAGTTAACCTTGGTTAAATGTTCTTGTTTAGGTTTTTCGCAGTGAAATTTTCTTAACGTATTTGCCAATGTAATAATATATATTGTAACTCAACCTGCTACTTGTTATGTGATGGCTTATTATTCTATCCGTTTATCGAAGCTGAATTAGATAGAGCGGGAGTTAAACCCGAAACCATTGCGTCAAAGTCAAGTTCCTAAGCCACCTCTACTTAAGTGCAAAAAATTCAATGTTCCTCCACATTTTTCACATCCATAGTAAGAACCGGTTACACCGATTAAGATTGTGATTGATGAAGGTCGAACATTAATTACTCCATTTGCTGCAGTTTTACGTTCAGACATTTTTGTTCAAAGATTCACTGACATTCCACTCCAAAACGTTCGAGTGGCCAATAACTCAATGGTTGGAATAATTTACTTCTCTTCTACTTGAGTGTTATTCATGTTAGCTGTTCAACTGATCACGTCTTATGTTTGTCAAGCGTAGATTCGTTGAATAAATTACAGACATATTTGGAATTTTTAACTCTTGGGAGTGCTTGTGAAACTAATATTTTTTTCAAAAGGGAACACATATGTACAAAATTCCTTATTTAGAAAAAACGAAAAAGTACACACATTTCTACTTCTGTATTATTTAGAATAACATCTTTACTGATGGAAAAAGGTCCCATAATTATTATTTGTCTTTGACGTCGCCAATGGCTGCTGCCTTGACGTGGTCGTCGGGCTTGTATATCATAGTGCCCCAATCAACTGCACTGGCTGAAACGCTTGTTCCCTCGATGTCCTAACATCCTAGAAAGGTCTGTTGAATGGTGGTTAGACAAAAGCAGTTACCATTGTAGTGCTAATTGCTACACTATGACGGGGTCCGAGGGTGAAGTCCATACTGTTGACTGAGCGGGAGTGTGACGACAGTAATGTTTTACCTTTGGATGGCCAGCAATTTCATGCTGATTCTGCCTTCTCTACTGGGAGGCGAGGAGATAAAGAAACTTGGCCCTGGTAATAGTCTACTCCCCACCCCAGGTCCTTCCGGTGCAGGCGTTACAGGTTTTTTCTATCTGGTGTTAAAACAGTCATATCGATCTCATACCAGCAACCCGGAAAACGCCGTGTGTGACAGGCTTCGAGCAGGTGTGCGATGGGCTCTGCGGTCACATAATTAACCTTTTTCAGATACCTTAGGAAGAAATAGCCTTCTATGGTGTTGGCAGTCGGGAAGTGTCAACCGTCCGTACACCGTTTGTGTGCTACTCGACTGAATGGATCTGTAAGAATTATGAAGGATAGTGAGACTAGGTGATGTATATTCCTAATTCCCACTTACGCGTCCACTGACAGCAGTTCGAATGATGCAAAGGATGAATTCTAAGAGAAGCTGTCAATCCTGCCAAAGAAAGCAAAACATTGGGATGTGATCATAATGGCAGGTGACTTTAACATTGAAGTAGAGAAGCTGCCAATGGTAGGTGGTGAAAGCAAATGAAGTGGAGAAGGTATCAGCGTTAAGCCATGGCCGGGAACTATTTAGGCTTATTAAGAATACCGGTGCGAAGAAAACGTTTGTTGTTAAAACTATCACTGACAAGAATGATACCCTGATTACTTCTCAGGACAGATAGCTAAGGTGTCTGGCGGACCACTTTGAAGCCCAGTTCAACTGGCTCACAATGCAGAGCAGCAGAAACTAAAGGTTTGCCATCCGAAGTGTTTCTGCTTGAATCCATTGTTACTTGAACACATATTGGGGTCTAGAGAATCCTGTGCATAATTGCAACAAGATTAATGATATTGAAATGTGGACCTGATGCATGCTATTGTTTTACTGTCCGGTGTTATCACAAAAGACATCCAGAACTATTCTCACGATATCTTTCACCATTCACTAATTTGTACTCTTTGATACACTTCCCTATTTTTTCAGAAATTTGGCAAAATGTAACCTGATAAAACCCTTATCTGTATTTGATTAGAATCGTTCATTCACGTATTCATGAGAAAAGGTGCGTATGGTTTCGCACTTCTAGTCATTGTCATCACAGTGATAAATGTTTCAACTTTTTGTTCATTCTTTTATATAGTGATGAAGACATGATTTCCGTTGCATCACTTATGTCATTAAGTCGTACTGGAAGTTTTAATGTTGGCAGTTCATCAACTATTAATGATTTCGGTGGTGTAGCAGCATTTTCACCAGTGGCATCTAGAACTACTGGGAAGGATGATTTCAATTCTTATTCTTTTTCAAATAGTAGTTTTCACACAGATCTTAGTGAATTAACGGCTAAACTACAAGCTTTGGAACGACGTCAAATAGATCTGCTTGAAGAATCTCCTGTCAAACTAGATGGAAATTTTATACAGGATACTTCAGATATAAACAGTTCCAAATCTGTATCAAATGAATCACAAAATCATGGTAATGTGCATATATTCATTTTCATTTTTTTCATAACTTTTTTCCGTTCAACTAGTAAATACTCAGCTATCAGATTCCTATTATATATGCAAGAACACTGATGATTCGCATCCGGATTAGATTTAGTGAACTTTGTGTAACCGTTCAAATTCAATGACTGCCGAGACCTGACATTCATCCACCGGATGGCGCCTTCAGGCTTTTCCCTCATTTGTTTTGGTTTGATTGGTACAATAAATATGGGTCTCAACCAGGTTTATGAATCTATGCACTTTTTCTCCATAATGAAATATATCACGTGTGTATCTAGCTCTAACAGTTTCACGAATATTTCTTCAGTTATTTACAGCATTTTGAGGAAAATAGGTACATCAGCATATGCTGATATTAGTGCTTATGCCAAACTATTGGCATTTCGCATCATAATTTTCCTGTTAGGCAAAAAGGTCCCCATTGTGGATACTTCTAAAACACGGCGGTTAGGAAACTCATATGCTTTTGCTTGTATTATTCATAAATTTATATCGATATTCTAACTACTGTTGGTATGTATGCCTACATTGTATCTGTGTTTGTTATTTATTCCCGATTCATACCTTGGCTTAGTCATCACTCTTCACACAAGGTGCAACGAATAAGTCAACACTTACTTAAGTGATAGAACTCATAAATTTATATCAAAAAATTGTCCGTAAGCTGATTTTCATTACATATCAATGTTAATCGACCGATAGCTACTACCTTGACGTGGTGGTCGGGCTTATATATCACGATAACCCGACGAGCTATGATGGTGGAATGCATATTCCCTTGGGGTCCCACCATACTAAAGAGGTCTGTTGGATAGTGATTAGACAGGGAGCAGTTACCCTTGACATATTCTTAAGCAAAGAAATGATTCATTGTGGGGGCTTAGATCAGTCATCAGTGGTTAGTAGTGATCCAAAGCCACAGGACGTGTGTTTGACTACATCTTCCATAATACAAGCCAATAGTCGTGGCATCAAAAAGGCCTTGCGTAACCAGTTTCAAGGGGACGTCCTCTGGGCTCTGCGGTCCTACAAATCTTTTTCTCCTTGAGGTACCTCAAGAAGGGATAGCCTTCCTCTGTGTGGGAAGCCAGGAAGTGTCAGCTGCCCTCACAACTCTGTCAGGGCTCAATTTCCCTCAGAACATTATCCACCTCCCTCACCATTACCTTCTAATCTTCCTCCACGTCTCTCAATTGACACTCCTGCAGCATCTTTAATTTCTTCTAGCTCTTCAGCTTTTGACAACGATCTGAGTCCACAGAACAGCATCATTGGTCTCTTTAAACCACCCTCCAAATTACACATTTGAACCTTCAATGTCCAGATCCTCCGTCAAATTGACCAACAAGCTTCATTAGCCAAAACTCTATCAAATGGGACCTTGGGTGTGCGCTGTGTTTGTGAAACACGCGTACAGGACCGAAATGCGGTTATTCGCTTAACCTATCTAGGCCAGTATGGCGAATTTGGAAAATTCACCCTTCGAGTTTTTGTAGATTCAATGGCTAGTTCTCGTGGTCTTGCAGGTGTAGCCATAGCATTAAGGACTATGGATGAAAGCTCACATCTAGACTGGATCCCAGTTGACAGTTGCCCATGCACTGTCTGGCTGAATGGCACAGTGAAAACTAAAAGAAATAGTGGAACTCACCACCGTCTCTTTGTAGTCTCCGCTTACGCACCTACTGACTACAGTTCGGATAAAGTGAAGGATCAGTTCTACCGGTAACTGTCTAGCCGAAAGTTCAGACGTGGTTGTTGTTGCAGGCGGTTTCAATGAACAGGTGGGTAGGCTGAGTCAGGCAGAAAGGGACTTAGATGGTACTTTCGGAATCCCGACTGAATGGTCAGATAAAGGTGATCGTCTGCTACAACTGGGTTTAGATAACTGTTTATTTCTAGCTAGCTCAAACTTCAGACATAAAGAAAAATGGTGAGTGAGACTATTTCGAAGACGGATGGGTTTGAGATTCACTCGCAGGAAAAATAACTGGAACGATGAGCAGAACACTTCGAGGAATAGTTCAACTGGCCTCCATCTACTATTGCGTTGCCCGCTATCCAGTCGGATCCTGAATGGAACATTGAGACAGGCTGCCCAGCACTTGCAGAAGTTGAGAAAGTGGTAGGTAACTTGAAACGAGGAAGGACAACAGAACCAGACGGACTAGTTTCTAAAGTATATAATAACGGTGGCAGAGTGTTTTTAGTGAAGTCAACTAGTGTATGGGAGTCGAATATGATCTCCTCTGGCTGGTCCCAACCACTAATTATCCCAGTTTTCAAGAAAGGCGGGAAGTCCTCTTGTGATAACCACAGAGGAATCAGCCTGACGAACACAGTGTCTAGGATTCTAGGTTCTATAGTTCTTCGACGCCTAAGTGAAGCTCGGGAACACCAAGCTCGAGAAAACCAGCCAAGCTTCAGACTTGGTCGTGGATGTATCGACCAAATATTCACACTCGACCAGGTCCTGGAACAGGCACGTTTACCGTTGCCCGACACTAGCTGTATTTCTCGACCTGAAGGTGGTATTTGACTCCGTCGATCGAGAAGTCTTATGGTGATATCCCTCACTGGAAGGGCGACATCACCTTATTGGAGGCTCTTTACTCGAACACCTGTAGGCCTATTAGAGCTTATGATGACATGTCGGGTGAGCTGTGATGTCCGTCAAGGATGCCCACTCTCTTCATTCGTATTAAATTTTATCATAGGAGTTCTTATACAGGTTTACCTCTTGTCGTCTGATTTGATGCAGATTAATCCAGTCACAAGAGAATCCTTGATAGATGAAGAGTAAGCAGATGACATAGTTCTGTTAGGTGAAAATGACAAGATGCAGAGTCTTCTGGACACCTTGAGTAACAATCTCTATACAGATAAAATGGACTTGGTTGGCTTTTGCCAACTTACGCCATCTGTGGCGCCGCTGCGATATCCGATTGTATGTTAGAGGTTGAGTATATTATGCTGCAGTTCACGCTGTTCTACTGTATGGCTGCGAAGCACGGCCATTAAAAATAGAAGACAAGAGAAGGCTTCAGGTGTTTGGTCACTGTTACCTTCGTAGCATAGGCCGTGTGTCGTGGTGTCATTGTGCGAGAAGTGCAGAAGTCAGACGGAGAGGAAAGTCAGTTGATGGGGTTGTTAACCTTCACTGACTGAGATGACTTGCTGGGACATGTATTACGCATGCCTAGTCACCGTCTGCCTTGCCGCACAATGTTAGCTGAAGTAGGTTCAGGCTGAAAAAAGTCTCGGGGCGGCCACGCTAAAACATGGCATCAATGAATGAGCTATGTGGGGCCATCCAGACTAGCCGGTTGGGATCCGTAAGACATGAGAAACCACTTGTTGGAGACTCTAGGTGATATGGCTCAGAACCGATGTCAGTGGCACAGATGTATAAACACATTACTCCTATCTTCACTGCTATACTTAATCTCATCATTTCCTCGTTCCTCCCTTATGCTAATTTCTACTTCTTTTACCCGATTTTTCTTTCCTTCATTTTCCATTTCATTGGTGTTACTTGATGTGCTGATATGAGGTGTGGCAACTTGGACCGTTAAGCAGTAGTGCCTTTGTTGATTTTGATGATGATGATGATAATCGATAAAAACCTAATAGTATTGAAATATTCTTTTGTCCTAAGAGGTATCAGCTGCTCATATTCGAATATCCGTGTTAAATCAACCTTTTAGGGTTAAAGCTTTTTATGCGGTACACTTAATTTTGAGTCAATAAATTTTTCACCTGTCATTTCCCACTGAAATCAATTCGTAAAATGGTGTGAATCATCTTTAAATTTTGCATACTTTGTTGTCAGGCGTCCGAGTTGCCACAAGAGCCATCGTTTTCATTGTGATGTGATACAGCTGAGGTTTTTTCTAGATTGAAGGGAGCTGTCATTCAGCGTTCTTTATTTTTCATTAACTTCTTGAATTATAATATTCTACAGTACGTAATATATTATGGATACAATTACATTGTTATATTATTTTCTCCCTGCTAGATTCATCCCAATCCGCTTTTGACAATATGTTGGGAAATTCAGTTAATGTTTCATCTGAAAAAGCAGTTCCTAGTCCGGCTGAGTAAGAAATGAATAGTTTTATTTATGAAAGGAGTTATCATCTTAGTGCATATCAATGGATTAAACACAATGTCTCCATGTTTTTGGGCAGATACATCATTTTATTTTCGGGCTGTACTATACCACACACACACACACACACACACACAATATATATATATATATATATATATATATATATATATATATATATATATATATATATATATACAATCCTTATGAGGGTCAAAAAAGCTAAGGTCCTTACAGTTTAAGGCAATGCAATCCAACAACTAAATACTTCTGTGAACTACACCTGTGGTGTAAAGGCTAATCATACTACCTGGTATCCAAGTCTTAATGCGTAGAATAGGGTTCGAACTAGTGATATATCCGTTTTGGTACTTACACCAATAAGCTTCTGCTTCATACCTTGGGGTCTGATAGTTAACACTTCAATTTTCAATCAGTGAATGTTAACGGTTTACACTTCCAACAGCAATCAGTTCATATTAATGACCCGTCTAATGTCAGAGTGTATATGACCAATGAGCACTAAATTCCCAAGTACTCGCTCATGCGTTAGGTCACTGTTAATAAATGGTTACTATTAATGCATTTCTAATTGATTAATTGAGCATTTCTAGTAAATCGATCACAAACAGATGTCAGTTGAGTAGCTTTGTGTAATTTATCAGTAACGTGACTTTTTATGTTAGTCATAGGTATTCACTAGTTATCAAGCTCAATGGCTACTAACTGAACTTGGACATGTGATGAATAAATGAATATTGACTAAAGATAATGTAGTTGAATCATAATGATGCCAAGTTACAGTTGCTGTTTATATGACATTGGTCTATAATAAAAAGAAAATAGTTTTCAATCTTTTATGAGTCCCTAATTTATCAACCTATAATGAATTACCGTTTTTATCCAAATGAATAGATTTCTTGTTGACCATAGATATTAACATTTCATTACAGATTGACAAACAATGTTCCCAGTGTTCATTGCAGTTTTAGTGAACACCATTAAATGATGTTGCTTGTGTGGAAACAATATCGCTCACTGAGAGGCAGGTACATCCAGCTGCCAAGTCCCAAATAGGTCGAAACACGTCCTGGATTCCACTGATAGCCACCATCCAACATCACTATTTTACTATATTCTAATAATAGTAATAATGATAGTAATAGTGATCACTTCATTCTAAACAGTATTTGATACAACTGTTGGTCAGTCAAAAGCGAATATGATATATCTCCTACTTCTGATCCCTAACATATTGATAACCCCGACCGGATAGTCTACATTCAAATAGTATGGAGTAAAAACCGCTGATATGGTATAGAGTACAGTCTATCTGCATTCTGCTTGCATTCAATTTCTCCATATTTTAGATGTTAGGCAAATTTGACTTATCATGAAGTCAAAATATCATATTGGTTTTACCATTTACGCATATATTTTGGATGATTGTCAGGGAGTTGAACTCGGAAGACTGGAGTGACTTGTACACATTAAAGTAAACCATAAACGTAGCGAAGATATTGAGTTTCATAATTTTTTCCCTCACTTATTAGAGATGGTAATTAATTACCTGGTTGTAATATTTGTTCGAGTGGGAGTATAGTGTAGCTCTTTGAAATGTCACTATGATCATAGAGCTATATTATGAAAGTTCACTTGGCAAAGTATCTTGATGACCAGGTAAGTGTAGTGGGTTTTTAAATACACGCAAGCGTAATGAATCGTGTGAAGAATGACGTTTTTTTTCTCATTTTACGAAAAAAGCTATTTATTGAGCAAACTTATTTAGCATTTACCAAAACCCATTGTCTTGGATAGTTAAGTGTTGATCATCATTGTTATCATTTATTCCTTATATGCTATTCGCTGTTATGTCGAAGGGCTTTTTGTTGCATACTTCCAATGAGATATTTTATTAAGGCTCTTGAGCGGTGCAGTGGTTTACAGTCGGTGTGAAATCTAAGGATAACTGGAAGTAACCTAGAAGAAAATTGGCAGTTTCTAACAGCTAAATATTTAAGTAGCATTTAAAGATCGCTTAACAATCCAATGAAGCTCAAATTATTAAGATTAAAAAAGAATAACAACTGCAAATCATTATCAACTGTGAGTAGTTGAAGGCTTAAATGATGAATGTGACTAACCCAAGCTTGATATTTGTGAGGTTATCCTAAAATAAGTTGTGTTCACGATATCGCGACTAAACATATTGATTATTCGAATATGTCCTACACACTCAAATTTTAATGATCGTAATATGCTTGAAAGTAACCTGATCAACGATGGATTGGATTGTTTAAAAATGCACGTTACACGGTGACACGTAATGTGATAGGAATTGTTGTTTCTTACTCATTCGACCATTCAGGACAACCCTAGGTATGTGTGAGTGCTATTGGAGGTGCGACTGATTAAATTTCTAAACATTTATCGCAAACCAAAGTGATATTATACGGCGATTCGGGTTACATTCAGCACTGTTGTGACATCAGCCTGACCGTGAAAGGTTGGTTATGCAGTGCATTGTCGCAGATGCTTATACTCTATATCTGTGAAACATTATCTCGCGCAGGTGAGAATGTTCGAAGAATTTGCTTGCTCCAACACCGTCATTTCCACAGAATTGCTAACTTCTAATATAAACATCATTTCAGTAATTCTGGTGTGCAGCAGCGCATGTTTATATGTGATAAAGATCGTTATTCACTGAATAAAGTTAACCTGGAAGACCGGCTTCAGTGACTGGGATGTGTTATGTATATCGTCTAAGCAGTTCCCATACTGTTTACTGCTTATCACCCCATGGGACAGGTTGAAACAAACGGACAGATAGTCGGTGTATGACGTAGTCCCTCAGGGTGAACGTTAGTTTTGTTAAGTTAGCATCTGTTGGCATCTTGAAACTTGCTGTATAAGGTCTGAGAGGTCATATGACTCAGTGGTGTGAGGTAATGTCATTTATGGCTCAAGATCCAAACCAATGGTGATCATTTTTAGTTTTCTTGTATCCTCTCTTCGTGAAAAGTCATACAGATGCAATAAAAGCTGTTTTAAATACGTCTTACAGCACCAAATATTTGCTCTTTCATCTTTTTCTTTTCTCATCGCTTCGTGTTTTACTTCATATAGTTGTTTTGTAATGTTTTTTGGTGCAGTTCTTGATATCATTGCTGTGTTAAGTTTTGTTTACCACTAAGAAGTAAAGGCAACCGTATTTATCTTACCTTTGGGTATCTGTTTCCAAACCACATGTCTTAGATAATAAATTATGAGATAAAGTCGAAAAGTTTCATAGTTACAGCCATCATACTCATCACTAATGATTCGACGCTACGCTATTTCAGTATACCTAATCTGTTTGCGGTTGTTGTTGGTGGTTGGTGGATGCAATCGCTTTGAATTTTTTTGTCGTACTTGTTTTTGTTCCAAATTCATTTATCATCCTTGTGCAAATTTACAGTTAGCCAAGTTTATTGAAATTTCTAAGTTGGACATGGCAGTCAAATCAGGGGACTAGCAACGTGGTAGAACAGTAGTCGCATATATCTCTCATTCACAGGAATTCTAAATAGAGCTCTCTGTGATTTTAAAGTGATCAAAATAATTACTATGAGTAGAATTCTAGCTGTATAAACGAGAACTGAACTCTATTTTTTATTGGAAGATTTAGACGCTCTATGAACAACTTGGCAATATCATACCTAGTAGAAGTTAGTCAAATATCTCTGTATTAGTAAGAGGCTGGTTTTTCAAGTGGTCATTAGGAAGTATAATTTTACACCAGAGAAAATTATGCTAACATGGCAGGTTTTAATGAAGCTACCAACAAATTAATTCGAAACCAACATTATCACATGGAATTATGTCAACGGAAGTTATACCAACAGAAGTCGAGCAACTTGACCCTTTATAGCAACAGGAAATTAGAAGTATTAAACAACAAGAAATAATACCTAGTGCACAGGTGGTGGCTTTCGTGCCCCAAGTGGCCTAGCGAATGATACTTTGGCGTTTGAAGCGATGGGTGCGAAGTTCTAGTCCCAATGGTGACATTATCACTCGCTGGAATGCAGCTATACCCGGCTGACAAGCCCGAAATAGGACGAAACGTGCGTCCTAGATTCCACTGCGAGTCATCAGGATGAATACACCATCACGAGTATCCGACAGTATCTAGGCCTCCGCATAGAAATCCGTCTGCCAGCGTAGGTCAAGCAATTCGGCCCTATATAACGACAATGAACTTATGTTTATTTAGCCTAGTTAGTATTCATTAGTTAGTTGAATAAATAATGTCCTTACTAGTAAGATAATGGATCTTTGTAAACAAAGAAAACTATCCACTTGATCGAAATGATTTACTGACATGACTATCTATTGATCAATCCTCATCGTATTTTTCTATCCTATTTATTTTACCCAATTAAATTATTCTATGTAGTTATTTCTCATTTTCATTTGTTTTTCTTTTAAACATGAATACGACTTAGAGTGAAGCCTATATCGACTCAAAGTCGATATGATTTACTTGTATGGTGTCAACAGGTGACAAAATCTTATGATAATATACAGATTATTGATCTCACTACATCCTTTCAAAATGGTTTGGCTTTTTGCGCTATCTTGCATCACTTTTTCCCAGATAAAATGTAAGTTTTTAATCAAATGTAATTACTGATTTGTGTTTCATAATTTATTGTATCTTTTTCTTTATATGTGGTTAATCTGTTTGGAGATTTTTAGTAAATATTTCCACCCAAGAACCACTCAAAGTTAGGGTTTACCTAACTACCAAACTAGTCTAGTAAAAAAATATCTGTCATTATAAGTTAAGAGAAATCGACTTCTATATAAACTAATGTTTGAAGTTATATTCCTCAAAATTTGTCTTCATTACTGCAGTAATCGTAAGGTCGAATAAAAATAGTGACAGTGAAAATACATTGAATAGTCACTAAATTTCGTTTGTACTGAAGGGGGACGAAGCTGAAAAAATGTGTTTGCTGCCCTGTCCACATAAGTTCCCTAAACAGATTCCTTTTTATCAACCTACCTTTTCGTCTTGAGAGAAGAATATCAAGGAAAGCTAAATTACCTTTTGACTCTTCCTCACATGTAAACTTCATCTTTGAGTGTACTGCGTTGAATCTGTTGAGTATCTTTGACCAGTCCATGTTGTTTCTCGCGCAGTAAAATAAAAATTATCCAATAGATCTTTCAAGCAAGCCATTCTTTAGTTTCGGTTAAAAAGTTCCGCTAATATGGGGCTCAGTGGCGATCCCATTGTGACTCCACCCACTTGTCTGTATGATCCACCGTTAAATTTAAAGTTGACATTCATCGCGGATTTGAGCAATAATTCCTTGAGGATATCTACTGGCATTCCAGCGTTCATAGACGTTTGTTCCAACTGTTCACCTACGTAGTTAACTGTCTCAAGAAGAGGAACATTAGTGAATAGATATGCTACATGCAGTGATATAATAGTTTTATTCACGTTATTAGCATCCTTAGTTCTACGTATAAATTCGAACGTCTTTCACACTGTTTTATTAGCTGTTTGTGTAAAGGTTAGAGAATAGTGATCAGGCATTTCGCTAGAGCATTTTGCATATTAAGAATTGGTCTTACCGGCACTCCTGGTTTGTATATATTAGACAGGCCATACAGTCTCGGTATGTAAGCATCTGTTAAGGTCAACGCATCATACATGCTTGATGATATTATATGTTGCTCTACAAATTTCTTCGGAGATCTGATTAATTCTTTTTCTGTTTTATCATTCAGGTCTTTTTGGACGTTTAATTCCTGAAATTTCATCTTATCGTTCAGTATTTCATTCATCTTGCTTATTTGATCACACTTATCAAGAAATACTCCTGTTCCTTTATCATGCTTAGTAATTAGGAATTTTTCGTCATTTACAGGTTCTAGTCAAAATACTTTTACAGTTATATTTGCTGCTCTCATACTGATAGCAGCAATCAACCAGATTATATTTGAAACGTTCTAGTTCTAGACTGGATGATGGCTGTAGATCAGTTGTCTGGCTGGATAGCTTTTCAAATTGTGTATCAAAAATATGTGTGATTGATATGGTTTGATCTATTACAAAATTTAAGACCCACAGATAGTACTTCAAGATAACATCTGAAAAACTGTACGTATTTCGTTTGATTTGTTGGGAATTTGCTTGCAACCCCTTGATTGTCAAGCCCTTCTTTGAGTTGGATTAGTTTTTTCTCTTCTCATCTTCTAGTAATTTATGAGACATTTTATAAAGGGACATATTAGGTGATCTGGAAGCTCATCCACTGCATATTGTCTTCGAAAGCCATTCATTTGTATTTTCTGTATGTACATGTACGTGCGAAAAGAGTCAGTCTGATTTAAGGCGTATGTTTTTAGTTTTTTAGTTGGTTTAAACTCTGCTGCAATGCAATAACTTATGAAACCATTTCTGATAGTGATACAATACAATGCCTCTGTTAGCTTAGTTATACCTCAGAAACTCATTAAGAACCTTCAGCGCAGTGGGTTGCTCACAGCTTTTCAAATCTCACAAAAAAACGCAGCCATTGATGTGCATGTGTCGATACACAATAGGGTATGACAAAATGACAGTCTTAAAGACCGGTATAATAATTAGTTTGAGAGAGAGAGACTAATCACCGAACTGTACTTCATTGAATCACCACCTAACATGTAAACTAGGAATGATCTAACACCGATTTTAGAAATGTAGATAATTCCAGTACAGACGCAGTCAAAGACGAGAAGGCAGTAGAGTTATAAAATGCCAAGTTAAGAGGTCGTATGGTTACCTTAATATGATTATAAGCACTGAATTGAGCTCGAAACATCATCCAGTAAGTATCACTATAACATTGTATATCAAATAAACTAATCTAATATGGAATTAGAATCATTTCTGAGTTCTTCAAAGGAGAATCATAATCTGTCTCGAACAAGACATAAATGTCATGAATTCACTCACCTAAATCACCGTAGTTGGTTCAGATAAATAGATTTACAGACCAACTTACAATCTGTATACGGAACTCAGAGTCAAACTTCAATTCTACCTTCTTGACAGTCCCATCACACTTTAGCGATAAAGATTGTATCGTATTCACTTATTTATTTTCAGTATGTTGAATGTGTTATTCATTTTGGCTACAACCATTAATAATCTCACAAGTTATCATTAAAGTTTTTATTATGATTAAATTATTTTGCTATATATTGTTCCTGATGGTTTCAACTCGGCATGAGCGTATAAATAAATATTTCGTAATGATGGTCATAATGATCGAACATATGATGTCGTCTTTATTGGTTGCATCACCGTAATTTAACACAACCAATATCTATGATGATATAATCCTTACATTTAAAATCTTATTCCTAATTCATTTGTAGTATTCTGACCAAATTATTTATTTAGTTACAGTATTCAGGATATTTATAGTGGGTGAAATGAAAATTTAGACCGCGGCCGGATTCGAGCCAGCGACCACTGGGTTTCCGGCTGAATGCTCTACCAACTGAGCTACAAGGTCCGACTGCTAACCACATTTTTACTTCACTTCAGTCACCAAGGGTTTACGCCCGACTACTATGTGAATTCGTGACGCGTTACTACCACTTGATCGTATTCACGCTGGCTGCCTAGTCCAGGACTTCTCATTCCAATCCAAATCTAACTGAATCAGAGAGGGGGAGCATCATATTGAATATCATTTAACTATCTGAGATAGCCGTAGTTTGGCAGACTAGTATTTATACTGGGTGATGATTGAAGGTGGTCACTGGTTCGAATCCGGCAACAGTCCGAATTTTCATCCCACCTTCAATCATTACCCAGTATAAATGCTAGTCTGCCAAACTATGGCTATCTCATATAGTCAAATGATGATACAGGATATTATCGCACACGCATTTCTTGCATTAAACCGTTTTGCTTTATCTTTAAATGTTGAAAACTTTCGTTTTGAATTAGATTAATTGTTGCATTTATTGTTCTCATCATCGAGTGAAGTTAACTAACTTGGTGACCTGTTGTGTCTCGCAGAAACATCTACATACTTTAATGGTTGTTGAACAATAGATGAGAACAAAGTGCTACTCTGTAAATATCTGTATTGCATATTGTGTATATTGTATCCAGCTGTACTATTTATTGTCAATCAATCACTGGTAAACTCATTACATAAATCCCTCAGCCTGATCGTTGCTTTCATAGTTTTCTTCGTGCGAAGAAGTGATTTCCCTTCGCTTATTTTCTTTGTAGCACCTAATGGCTTGATGGAAGAAAAAGATGATTTAGAGATAATAGTAGGGGAATTGCAAGTTCCTGGTTTTATGGATGACTTGAAGTGTGAAAACGAAACATATAGTAGCTATTTGTTCAAGCACCATCACATTACGATTGACTTTTAATCTGTGTTTAAAGATTCATTGTTTGCTGCAGATTGAAGACACTGACAGTAGGTCAGTAATCTGTGATTGGGAGGTCTATTGATGTTAGATATTTGTTAGTCCCATTACTGAATGTGATCATAGAGTGTATTGTAAATTAGGATTCATCTTTCTGCTCAAATCACCTACTGAATGTTAGTGAGTTTTTTAACTGCTCTTTTCATCAGCTGAGTTGATCAACGAATTTCTAGTTAAAAGGGATACAAGATAATATTCCTACATTATAATAGATTTAACAAAAGTAAGTATAAATAATGAATAAAACAGTCAGCAACTCATCGATTTTCGTATTTGAAATTACCATACATTGTAGCCAGTTGATGTAGCGGTATATATTTCTTTAGCATCTAACGTTTTAGTCTGCAAAAGAATAATGTTTATTTACTGGTTAAAATATTGTATTTATACTTTTTTTCAAAAACATTTCTAAGTGATTATGTTTCATTGTCTCCGGATAATGCTTCTCAAAATTGCCGACTGGCTTTTGATGTTGCCTCTAAACTGGGAATACCACGGGTACTTGATCCAAGTGAAGTGGTTTCGAAAAGTCGTCCTCCTGATCTTCTCAGTATGATGACTTATTTACATCAAATTCGTACATTGTGCTGTGAACGAACAACCAACAACAATGTGGGCTCTACATGTTCAAATGGTGAATCAGTGTTCAGTGAAGTTATTGAACATTGTTTCGCCAAAGTTAGCAAACCGATTCCCGTTGTGAAGAATTCTGAGTAATTTCTTTTTTCACTATAGTATTTTGTATCATTTGAATTTTCACACACTATATAGTTAATATTCATAGGAGTTTTCAGTATACTAATATGTATTCGAAGGTGGAGCTATGGCTCATTAGCTTAGGGAGATGACTTCCAACTAATGGGGCACAGGCTCGAAACCCGCTCCACCTACAGAGATTTGGGCAGCCAGATAGTATCACTAGCGCCAACACAGTTGGTGTGGCTCATTGCCTGGTGCACGAATATACACAAGGTTGCTGAGTGCGCTTTTATGTATTTGAAGCTTTCTGGTAATTATGGTAGTAGGCCCAATGATCGAGTACTCTACGGGACATCCACAACATGTAACATTTGGTTTTTTTAGTAATCATTATTTGCCACTTAAGCTGAACGTCCGCTTAAAATTTCCAGTGCTACAGAATTTTTTGACTTAAATCAGAAAGATAAATGGATTGAAAAGTTTTAAATGATAAGTATTAACTCATTTTAAAATACAGTATTTTCCAAAGATGTTAGTGATCATGGAGAATAATCGTTTTCTTTACTCGTGCGAAATCGGTTCATCGGTCCAAGCATAAATTGCGACCTGCAACTTAATTTCAAATATCTGTTTTAGTTTTTGAAATACTGAACGGTTATATCTCGTGTGCAGTGATTCTTATCGAAGCAAAATGTTTACTAAGTTTTGACACTGCTGTAATTCCGTCATTCGTGAATAAACAACTGTAGTTGTAATCTCCATTCTTCAATGTAGTAAACTGTACGCTTCTACATCGTACACATTTTTTCATGAACACATTAATTTTTTTTATTATCCTGAAATAACACAGTTTACTGTTAAAAGTTAATATGTAGTCAGCTGCTAATGAACGATGATTTGAAAACTGTATTATGGAAGCAAAGATTTGGTTTATTATTGTGTCGTGAAATCTAGTTTCCGTAGGGACCTTAAATTTGTAAGTCAGTTATAATTCACTGATTTCATAATAGTTGATGATATGTAGCAGTAGAATTAATGACTCCTGTGTTATCGGAATTTCTCTGTCATATAGATATTTCTACGTGTCCTTCTTCCATGTTTCCTCTTCAATTTTGAGTCCATATTCACCACAGTATATATACTCTTTACTAGTTATGCCACCTCTTATGAAGTAGCATAACTGACTTTTTATTCGTTTGCATTCGCTTCACCATTTTGATTGACGAAATGTCTCAATGTTGTAAGTTTTTGGTTGTGTATGTGGTGGTAATAATCAGCATAAATTAGTATCAAACTTTTCTTAGGACAAAGATAAATAATTATGAAATTCGAATATTTAACTTTGACACATTATAGCTCGTATTTCAATCTCATCTAGTATTCCTTTCTTTCTCACTGATAGCTCAGCAGCGTCATCGATATCGAATCATCATCCTCAGCAAGTTGATCATTCAATAGCGGAAAAACTGAATGGTGCAGAAAATAATGTAATCCACGAAAGTAAACCTATTGCATCAACACCTACTAAAAAAGTAACTTTATGAGTAAATTCGTATTTTATAATCTTTTCGTTTTTACTCCTTTTACTTAAATCATCAACTTAATGCTCTACAGATTAGAATAAAGATATGAAGGTATCTTTTGGATTTCCAAGCACCAAATATCGAGTATGGATTAGAATTATCTTTTGCTACTACTTTAGCCCGGATAACCAATACTAGCATAACCTCGCACATATTAAATTTGACTTGGCTTACTGCTTAAACATCAGTCAACTTTCTGAGTTACATTAATGAGACATAAGTAATTAATTAAAAGCGTTTGTCGGTCTGGAGTGAAAACTCCTGTTAGGAAACTAATCAATTCTCTGCAAACTTCAAAACTGTCTAAGGAGCCAGTGGTCAATAATAACTTACTTCGAAACGGATTTTGAGCTTTTGAAAAGACGCAAAATCGCAGGGGTTTAGATGAAGTTTGTCTGTACATGAGAGAAATCAGTTACTGTAGAAATGTGGCCGTTTCAGTGATTAACGCTCTTTTGAATTTTTTCCAATTAGCATCGTACTGACACTTTCTAAAGACATCTATTTATCTAAAGGGTTACATGATTCTTAGTACCAAAGAGACCTCTATTTTTTGTACAACGTAAACATTTGAACTCGGAAACGTTTAATGTGATTGGGGGAAAGTTTGACACAACGTTGAATCTTTAAATTCTTGGATCTTCTAGTGGCCGCCAACGAATCCTTTTTATATATGATGATGGAATTTTAGAACATTGACTAAAGAGATTTTTATTATTTTTCCTTTAGGTTTCTAGTGGAAAATAGGGCTTCAGTAGCACGCCTCCGTTGCACTCTGTTCTCTACAGTCCTTTGAACCTCGCTCCACGACTGTCCAGAAGCTTTCATTTCTTCCTTACATGATCTCCTCCATGTCAGCCTCACCCTGGACGTCCAACTCGTCGTTTCCCCCTTGGATTCCACTCGAGGGCCTGGCCTGGCGCGTGATGTCCCGAATCAGTGAATGCTCGACGCAATCCATCTTCACTTTCTTCTGCATATTTGTTGGGCGATGGGTTCTTGGTTGGTTCGTTCCCAGAGTTCCTTGTTACTTATTCTTTCTGGCCATCTGCTCTTCAGTATCGAGCGAGCGTAGGCAGCTGTTGATGTATGTCTGTAGTTTGCTGGAAATGCTTTTCGTACTGCGCCAAGTCTCTCAACCATCACATAGAAGCACTGACTTGACTGACTTAATATTGAAAATCCGGATCTTGTTGACGCTTTATGTTCAGTGCAGTCAAAACGGTGTAACCTTTTCATATACTCTACCTTTAGCGGCCATGTCTCACAGCCGTTTAACAGGACAGAACGAACTGAGGCGCAGCATACTCGGATATTTCGCCAGCATCATAGATGACGCAAGTCGGCAAATGTCAAATAGGTCTTTTGTATCCGAGGTGAGGTTTCTGCAGCAACCAGTTTGTTCGGACTAATGCAACTCCCAAGTAAGTAAAGTGGTTGACATATTTTGCTACTTCACTCCTCACCATGAAACTGTAATTAGTTTGCAGACCAGTCCTGGAGTCTCATCTTACGTTTGACAGGTCCGAAACGCATGACAAACGTACTCAAATTTCTGCCCAACGTGTCCACAAGATCCCTCATTGCGTCAGCATCTTCACCCAGCCGGACAATATCGTCTGCATACTCCATGTCAACCAGAGAGTAGATCAATGTTTGTGAAGTCAGGCGTGCCTAAAATTATTTTCGTTTGTTCATTTCTTTAGGGAAATTAAATAGGAACAGTGACAGCGGGAATCCATGGTGGACAATATTAGTTACTGTCAATTAAGATGCAAACTCTCTATAAGCCGTTACACAACTACATGAGTTCATTTAGAGAGCGTCGCAAAGCGTAATGCACTTTCTCGGTACTCCTTTCACAATCAGATACTGCCATAACACCTCACGGTCGACAAAGTCAAATGCCGCCTTAAGGTTAAGAAGTATGGCAGGCGTCAGCAACCGGTAAGCAATGCCTCCCGACTGATAGCTGCTACCTTGACGTGGTAGTCGGGCTTGCATATAACAATGACCCAACGAGCTATGCTGGTGGAACGCTTGTTCCCTCGAGGTCCTACCATACCAGAAAGGTCTGTTGGATAGTGGTTAGACGAAAAGCAGTTACCGTTATAGTGTAAATTGCTACACTATGATGGGGGTCTGAGGGTGAAGTCGTACTGCTGCTAGCTGGATGGCGTGTGACAGCAGTAAGGTGTTTCACTTGGATGACCAGCAGTGCATGCTGATGCTGCCTTCTCAATGGAAGGGGGGTTAGAAAAGGTTGGCCCCAAAAATAACACACTCCATCATCATACCCCACGGTCTGCTGGGCCGGCGGTGTTGGTTTACTTCTGACTGCTATCCACCTCCTCCATCATTACCTTCTAATCTTCCTTCACGTCTCTTAATTAATGATGCTGCATCATCTTCAATTTCTCCTACCTCTGCAGCCTTCGACAACGATCTGAGTCCACAGAACAGCATCCCTGGTCTCCTTAAACCACGCTCCAAATTACATATTGGAGCCTTCAATGTCCGCACCCTCCGTCAAATTGGCCAACAGGCTTCGTTGGCAAAGACTCTAGCAACTCGGGCATGGATGTGTGCTGTGTTTGTGAGACACGCATACAGGACCCAAGTGTGGTTATTCACCTGACCTCTCCTGACCAATCTGGTGAATCCGCAAAATTCACCCTTCGAGTTTCTGGAGATTCGATAGCTAGCTCTCGTGGTCTTGCAGGTGTAGGTATAGCATTAAGCACCAGGGCAGAAAACTCACTACTAGACTGGATCCCAGTTGATAGTCGCCTCTGCGCTATGAGGCTGAACGGCACAGTGAGAACTAAAAGGAATAGTGAGACTCGCCGTTGTCTCTTTGTAATCTCTGCTTACGCACCCACTGACTGTAGTTCGGATGAAGTGAAGGACGAGTTCTACCATAAACTGTCTAACCTCCTCTCGAAAGCCAAACGTTCGGACGTAGTGGTTGTTGCAGGTGACCTCAACGCACAGGTGGGTAGACTGAGTGAGGCAGAAAGGCACTTAGGTGGCACTTTCGGAATCCCAGCTGAACGTACAGATAACGGTGATCGCCTATTACAACTATGCTCAGATAACCGCCTATTTTTAGCCAGCACAAATTTCAGACATAAAGAAAGGCACTGTCTGACCTGGCGTCCACCGAGCTCGACTCAGCGATGGACACAGATAGACCACATTGCTATTAGTCATCGCTGGAGAGGATCGGTGGAAGACTGCCGCTCCTTCTGGAGTACGTGTTTGGACAGCGATCATGCGTTGGTCCGAGCACGTATATGCCTGCGTCTCAATGGACGTAGAAAAAATTTGGCAACAAAACCACTACGAGTTCTGCTGGACAACGAAAACACCAAAGCCGTGTTCAGTGAGAAGTTGGCTAGGCAGTTATCGGAACAAAAGACTGTCACTCATCCAGAAGAAGCTTGGTGCCATCTTCAGTCTACTGTAAAAGCAGCACTGGAGACTGTAGCCGACTCCAAGATAATGGCTAAAAAGAGCCAGTGGATATCAGCAGCTTCTTCCAAACTAATGGATGCACGTGAATGCATCCCTGCAGGCTCTGAGTACAATGAAGAGCGAGCGCAACTTAAAAATAACTGACGAAAAGTCTGCGCAACGATCGTGAACAGTGGTGGGCAGCGAAGGCTAAAGAGATGGAAAAGGCAGCGGCGATCGGTAACAGTAGACAGTTATTTAGACTTATTAAGGAGACTGGGGGGAAATGGTCAACAACAGTTAGTGAGGTTATAGCGGAGAAGGACGGATCTGCGATTCACTCGCAGGGAAGGCGACTGGGACGATGGGCAGAACACTTCGAGGAACAGTTTAACTGGCCTCCAGCCACCATTGCGCTGCCCGCTATCCAGTCGGACCCTGAATGGGACATAGAGACAGGTCCCCCAACACTAGAAGAAGTTGAGAAAGCGGTAGGTAGCCTGAAACGGGAAGGGCAGCAGGACCAGACGGACTACCTGCTGAGGTATACAAGAATGGTGGTAGAGTGCTCTTAGTCAGGCTAACGGAAGTGTTAGCCAGTATATGGGAATCAAATACGATCCCCTCCGACTGGTCTAAGTCACTGATCATCCCAGTCTTCAAGAAAGGCGAGAAGTCCTCTTGTGATAACCACAGAGGAATCAGCCTGACAAACATAGTGTCTAAGATCCTAAGTTCTATAATTCTCCGACGCCTGAGTGGAGCTCGGGAACAGCAAGCCCGAGAAAACCAGGCAGGCTTTAGACCTGGCCGTGGATGTATCGACCAAATATTCACACTGCGCCAGGTCCTGGAACATAGGCATGCTTACAGACGCCCGACAATAGCTGTATTTCTCGACCTGAAGGCGGCATTTGACTCCGTTGATCGAGAAGTCTTATGGCAATGTCTGTCACTGAAAGGCGTGCCTAGTAAGTACATCACCTTATTGAAAGCTCTCTACTCGAACACTTGTGGGCATGTTAGAGCCTATGGTGAGTTGTCCAGGGAGCTATACTCATCAAGTGGTGTCCGTCAAGGATGCCCACTATCCCCATTCTTATTTAATTTTATCATAGATATTCTTATGGAGGTTTCCCTCTCGTCACCTAATTACACAAACGTTGACCCGATCACAGGTGAATTTTCCTTAGATCTAGAATATGCAGATGACATAGTCCTGTTAGGTGAAGACGCTGACAAGATGCAGAGTCTTCTGAACACTTTGAGTGGGAATTTGAGAATGTTTGGGATGCGATTTTCACCACCCAAATGCAAATTTTTGCTCCAGGACTGGTCTTCAGCGGTACCGCGGTTAACAATAGAGAGTGAAGTGGTTGAGTGTGTTGACCACTTCACTTACCTGGGAAGTAGGATCAACCTGGTGGGTTAGTTGCCGATGAGATTTCTGCACGGATACAAAAGGCTCGATTGGCTTTTGCCAATTTGCGCCACCTATGGCGCCGCCGTGATATCTGATTGTCTATTAAGGGTCGCGTATAGGCCGTATTCCGTGGTGTCACCACGTGAGTAACACAGAAATCAGATGTAGAGTTTTGGGAAGGAAAGGCAAGTCAGTTGACACGGTTGTGAACCTTCATCGACTGAGATGGTTGGGGCACGTGTTACGTATGCCTAGTCACCGATTGCCTCGTCACACAATGTTGGCTGAAGTAGGTCCAGACTGGAAGAAGGCCCGAGGCTCTCGGCCAAACTAAAACATGGCACCAACGTATGAAGTCACTGACTGTTGGTTTGAGCCATGTAGGGTGATGCAGACTAGGTGGTTGGGGTTCGCGGGACAAGAGGAACCAGTGGTTGGAGACTCTATGTGATATGGCTCAGTAACGATGTCAGTGGCGCAGATGTATACACACATTATCCTCATTTTAACAACGCTATACTGAATCTCACCATTTTGTCACTCCTCTTTCCTTTCTTCTCGTACTTTATATTTCTTTTGACTGCATTCACTTATCTTCATCCTTCACCTCACTACCTTTTTACTTGATGAACTGATATGAGGTGTGGCAACTCGGACCGTAAGGCAGTAGTGCCTGGTCCTATGTATATAATGATTGATTGATTGAAGCAATGCGTGTGTTCCGGGACTCGTCGAAGGGTGAAAGTGTGATCGATGCACTCTTATCTAAGCATGGTAGCCTGCCTGCTTTTGTCGAGTTTTTTGTTGTAGTGCTCCAGTTAGTTGTCAGACATTTACCAACCGTAGGATCCTGGACACGGTATCAGTCAAACTTATTCCTAATGGTATCCATGGGAAATTTGTGCATTGTAGAGAGATTACATTTATTATAAATATTTTTGTAATACATGTTAATACGTAATGCATAAGTGTGTGTACTCATTGTGTGTAGATATTCATCACGAATATATATTGATAATAAATTAATTCCCTATGGTTAGGACACGAAGACTTTACTCACTTATAGACTAGAATGATCGACAAAGTAGAGCAGTGTGATGCGACCACCTATGATTCCCATATACTACGTAGCATTTCCGTTACTCTAATAAGTAATTCCCTACCTTCATTCCCAAAGACGTCTGGTGGCAAACCGTCAGGTTCTGTTGCGTTCTCTTGTTTCAGGTTGAAAACAGCTTTCTCAACTTCGACGACTTTTGGAGAACCGACATCTCCGTCCCATCCAGGTTCAGACTAGATGCTGCGCAGCTGAAGCTCTGCTGTGCATTAGTTGAACTGGGCTTCAAAGTGTACCACCTAACGTTTTAACTGCCTGTCGTGGGAAGTTATCGCGATATCATCCTTTTCGGTGAATGCCTCTAACATAGTAAAGTTTAAAGGCTTATCTGCCTTGTTATACTTCATTTTATCATTGAAACCTATTGCGTCGCGGCTTTCTAATTCTCTCTATACTTCTTGCTGTAAATTGCAGCTTCAATAGGCCTCTGCTTGTTCAAATAGCCATATATTATTGCATGCACATATATCTATTTTTTTTAATTTTTGGGGAGATCCGTTTGCAACGCATCTGAAATGTTGTGTAGTCAGAGCTGTTCGCTTTGTTCAGTATGCAGTGACAGTAGATAGCGTAAATACTTTGACCTTCCGTTTATTTAAGACCACTCCTGTCTTTTTGGGTGTTTTTTCTAAATGCCATCATCTACTTCTTGTGTATATATGTCATCTGAATACTGACAAATTTAAGAAGAAAGTTTGATTTCCTTACAGTCCCTAACTCTCATTACACTTTGAAAATGTATTCGCCTCAAACCTTGCTTTTCTTTCGTTGTACACTTGCTTTTTGTAATCGTATAACGTGATGAGAATTCATCAAAAAGAATATTCTTTTTTCAGATTGTTTTTATTAGTAGTGAATAGTAAACATCTGGCCTAAGTTACGTAAGATAGTTCGCTTATTTATGAATATTATCCTTACTTTTGTGCAGAGAATTTCCTCAATGAATTATGAACATATGTTAGCGAAAGCACGCAGTCTGCTACAACAGTCCCGTTCAAATTATTTAGCACCAACAAGTAGACCTGATGCTTTGCCACCATTAGCGCAACCGCGTAAAACGCATCCTACATCTGGTTCATTGACAGCTATTCATTCAACAGATGAACAATCGTATAGAAATTCAATTGCTGAAGGAGGTTTTATGAATGCAGCTGATGGACAGAGTCACCGATTAAATGATACAAAATTATCGACAAGTAAGGTCTTATTCCTATGTTGAATTGCAGTTTTTCTAATTTTCTCCAATATTCATGTTTTAGTCGATATGCTTAAATTGTTAAATTAAATTAGTTTCCTAAACCTGAGGTGACATATGTTCGAATGTCTCTGACAAAAAAATTAGATATACGAAACAATTTTTTTTCTAGATTGAATCAGACGTCACACCCACCTATTTTTGTCGATCAGTTAGAGGATCTTCAGTTCGTTCGCCAACTATGTTATTGCCTAGACAAAGTTGGTCAGCACTTTTTGATGTCGTTGTTTTTGTAATGCTACACAAACGTCTCATAATGTTACTAGCCAATATATATCTTCATTTCTGACTTTCATGCATCACAAACAACACGCTTCTTCCAAAGTTCCAATGAATGTTTTTTCAAATGGTTACCAATAGTGTGTGATCAAAGCCAAGGATCCGGAGTTCTATTGCAGAAGGAGCTATTGACCCACTCAACTATCGGTCGCATCGTTGTTTGGAATAGCTCTTCAACAAATATTGGACCACAGAAACTAGTCACTTTTGTGTAACCTAAAACACATGATTTTTGCACTAAGAAAATTGATGTAACACATCATTCATATCATAAAGGGACAAGGGGATTCGTTAAAAGTTGTGTAAAGTAACCTGTTTTCATGTTTGAAATTAGATTTGTTGAAATCAGACTAAGAATCATCAAACTGTGATTGATTTAGTTGGCTGTTCAAGAATTTAGAGATTTCCCGAATTATCGAGGTGGAGATGATGAAGTTAGTAATTCTACTTCTTATACAAAACGATAACTTAGAGTACATGATGGTTTCGTTGTCTAAAGCCTTCAAATCCTTCTTTTGATAAAAAAGACAAATGCGTAGGTGGAATACAGTTATCATGATTCAATGACATGTAAAGCAGTCTTTATTTTGGAGTGAGATGCTGTTTCAGTAGGTAGGAAGCATCGTACTTGTTGGTGCTCAGCAATGCTTCTTTGTAGACATTGTTTCTATACATAAGCATTGTCAAACATGTACATTGAATAATGCATTTAAGTATCTCAGAATAGTTCTACTGAGCATTTAACTTCGATATCAAAGTTTTTAGTTATCTTATATCTTTTTTTTATTTGTGTAATTGTAATTAATTGATTTTAGTATTTAATTGATAGTCACTATATCATGGTACTTAACTCACCGCAATCATTTATGCACGATCATCATATCTCGTTATTTTATTCAACCTAGGTAATCCGTCTCGTAGCATCATCCTTGAACGGATGCCTCTCTACTTCCTTAAGTTTTATCCTAATTTTATTCATGATAACTAACAAGGGAATCCAGGACGCAAGTTACTTCCTCCTCATCATTCATCTACAAATTGCCCCTACCTACCAGTTATTAATAGTGTTCTTATTGAGACTGAAACACAGCACTTTTCCCTGCAAACATTAGAACGTTCTCCACTTTAAATATTTTATTGTTCATTTTCCAGTTGGAATACCATCGCTTTTTTCTATGCAGATGGATCCAACTGTAAGTTCCGAATAGGGTGAAACGTACATCGTTGATTCCAATGCTAGTTACCATAAAGAATTTTTTTTAGCCTATGGGACATCTTTTCCCCCTTAACGCTATAGCCGACAGCACAAAAATACATACATCTGAACGTCTCTTCAGTAAAAGTATAACTGAGTCTACTTAACATAACTGTCAGAATGTAGAATTTACTGATGCGTAAAAGAAATACTACACTGAAATAAATTTGTCATATTGTTTTGTTGAAGTAAATTTCTTTTCGTTCTGTTATGAATGAATATACACGTGTGTGTGTGTATGTGTGCATGTATAGAAACGTCATCATTTGATGGATTGGTAGCTGTTTTAATCAAGCCCTTATCAACAGGTTAGTGTTGTGAACGGAAATATTCTAATGAATAATAGGCTAATATTCTTTTGCTGTTATTTGTTTTCCCCATAATCATATAAAATGTAATTAATTCAGTAATAACCACAATTAAGATAATTAACACACTGATTTAGTTCGTTAACTAATTCTATACTTTGTACTATTGTATGATAACCAGCTTTGTTTCTATTTGTAACCTTACTATATTTGATTTTGATAAAATTGTATTTGAAAGATGAGTCAAGTGCTTTTTATTGTTGATATAATGTAATTCAATGCCTTTTAATAATGCTGTATTTATTTTTTCTCCTTTTTCTGGTTCCTTAACATGTGTGTGCTTGCTTGCACGCGCGCACTTCCTTTCTATAACCCGTATACTGTCTGGCGTGTACTCTCACACTTTATTATTATATCACCCTGCATGTTTATTTTACGTGCTGTTCATTTGTTCATTGTTTTTCTTTTTCCCTATTAAATGATATTGTTTTGCTTGTTACTTACTCTATACTTGATATACATTAATAAATGTATATATGTGTGTATGAACGTACAATCTGCTTCTGCTTTTCTGCATTGTTTACTGTTAACATGATATACGCGTACGTGTACCTATGAATGCTGCTTTTGCTATGTGTTTTGGGTGTCTTGTTTTGTTTTGGGTTTCTTTTTCATCTTCTTGCAAACAAATAACTCATGAATTCTGAATTTTTTTTGAAATACTGGATGAACACTGTTGGTTTGTATAGGACGTAAAAAATCACGTAAAACATTGTATAGATTCAATTCAGATGGTAAAAATACTTTGTTTTGCATATTATATTTGTGCTCTATTACCCTGTAACAACTTATTTCCCTTTAATGATTTGTTTTTTAAAGGTCTTTGAAATTTTCAGAGACATGCTATGGTATTATAGAGATGACTAAGTTTGGAGTGAAAATCAGTAGTCCTATGTGATACTGGAGAATCTCTGTTTTGTGTCATCAAATGAATAAAACTATAAAGCCAGACTTTTATGCAATTTTAAATATCCGGGTTAAAATTCACAGTAATAGATTTAAATAAAATGATCAAGATTTACGTCTTCAAGCATTGTATTGTGCAGTTGTAAAATCTGAACGGATCCACACAATTCACTTGTCCTCATTGTTCTGAAGAACTACTAAACTCTTTCTGAGTACACGAAACGCATGATATTAAACCTAATAGAGTTGATCGATCTATGTCTCACGACATGTTTACAACTCAATGGGAAGATTTACAAACAAATAAAAGGCACACCTACGAGGTCACCAATATCCGGATCGGTTACTGAACCAATGGTGCAGCAGCTGGAATAAATAGTCATCCCTCTCATCGGACCAAATTTTGAATTTAGTACGTTGATGATACATTCATAATTCTCAAGGAGAATGAAATAGAAAACAAATTCAAAATAAATATTCAACCAAACATTTCAAGGACTGGACTGAAATCGGCTGAACTTTACAAACTTGAGTCGGCATAAAAACCACAAACAGTGATCACATTTTGAACTGTAATAGTAATCATTCTACAGTTCATAAAAAATGCTGTGCATAAACACTTCTCAAGGGCCAAAGTACACTGAAGCACTACGAGTAGTCGAGAAAAAAATACCGATGAAAAGTGTTCGAAACCAATGATCATCCACTCAACTTTATCAAAAAGTGTTTATCAACCGAACAAAAGATGGGGTAGTTAGCTCAAATCAAAAGGTGTGTTACGTTACCTTACATCAAAGATGTTTCAGAAACTGTCAACCGACTGGTTCCTCCTTTTGAAATCGGAGTACTCCACAAACCAATGAAATCAGTACACAACATGTTTCGTATGCCAAAAACCCGTTACCAAAGGGAGATAAAACAAATATGACCCACAAAAGCAACTACAAAAATTGTTCACAGTGCAACGTTGGCTACTCTAGCAGTCGGATTACCCAAAGAATTCTTCACCATCAATTAGCAGTAAAGTGACATAAAAGTTTCCTTGGTTTCGATGCACACATACAATCGGTCACAAATTCGATTAGGAGAATGCAGAAATCCTAAAAATAGCAGATTAGAAAGGAGGAAGAGAATTTCCGGAAGTATAGGATTCAGATTAAAAGTCACTCAGACATGCGGATATAGATTCAATTTACTTAGAAAGAAAACAGCCATCTATCAACCAAGGACAGATTGACTAAACAAATCAAATGATGAAGCCCAATGTTACAGTAGGAAATAGCACAATTTCATTCTGATAAAGATTCTTTCAGCGTGATTGAATGAAATGCAAGGTTACATAGGTCAGGGTGTAATAAAAATCTCTTCTCCAACTTACAATCAGACAACATCCAAGTTCAGTAAAAAGACTACCTGAATGTTCGTGTATTATTCGAATATGTTTCACTTTTTTATGAAGTTAGTACTAAGGATGTCACAAAGCCTGGTGATAAAACGTCCGGAAAAAAAGCACGGAGAACACCAAATCAACATTTTCCATTACCTCATCTCCTTAAGGGATGGAAATCCTTTTATGAAAAACGAATTCGATGTGCTTTCCAATACTTGATTTTTGTAGCCGTTCAACAACTTAACTTAATGAACAGTCAAACGGAGAGGAGGTCCTAATGCACGTTCATTCTCATTTGAAATGGAATACGATCGTGGTTACTTATTTCTTACACTAACCATATTCATTTTAGTTGGTTTCTTTGACCTGAATAACTAATAATGTTTTTATACAAGTAAAACGTGGAAGCTGTGGTAGAATGTAATTCCACTTTGGTTGATTTATTAGATGTATCACCCGGTAGAACAGTATTATGTACTGGGTTACGTTTCGGACGCAGTTTGTTCTCCATAGTCATATCAAGATAACTACACAACTTTAAAACGTGGTTTACTTAGGTCTTGATGACTAGCAGAAAGATCCATGACGCACGTTTCGTCCTATTTGGGACTCTTCAACTGGATGTACTTGCACTCCAACGGGTGATGCAGTGGTTTATTTGGTTCTAATTCTTTCTCCTCCTTTGTGATATGAGTAGTAGAATTCACATGTATCTGGAACATGTGCTGAGCCATTCTTGTTGCACGTATTTGGTGTTGATTCGATCACAAAGATTTCGTTATCTATCCCTCCACCCCACTCAGTTAGTTCTGAGGATTGTCACTCTGTCCCACCCTACTGTGTAGTTATGTGTAATTGCATACATACTCCAGCTTTTTCTAGATTGTCTGTCTTACTAGGATCTACCAATCTTGACCTATCTAGGTTTTTGTGCTCGGATAACCTAATTGACTCTGGCCGACTACATTGACCTATGTATTTGACCTCATAATCATAGCAAGAGATTTGGTAAACTAAATTATTTTACCTTTTTGGATCATCAGGACCTTTTAAACCTACAAAGCTTATTTCTAAGTGAGTTTGTAGGTTTAAATGCCACTATAATCCTAGCTTATCGAGATTCTTACCTCATATCTTTGTTGTGCATTCCTTGTATGGTAATACTGTAGTGGTTTTGAATTCTCTGTTCACAGTATTGCCATTATTATTAACCCCAGTGTTACTACTGTTAGTCATATTTTTCTTACGATTACCAATAGACTAATTCAACAATTTAGGAGAGTAATTATTCATAAATGAGGTGTCTTTAAAACATCTGATTTCTTGCCTTACTAGTAGGTTTCTTGACTCTGACACTCGGATATTTTACTAAACCTACTTTAACCGAAATATGGTGAGGTGATGTGGAGCCAGCACGAACACAAAACGTAGTGAAATCAAAGTTGGTAGATCGTAGTATGCATGCAGTTATACACAGCCACGCAATTGATTGAGGCACAGTGATAATCCTTGAAACTAACTGAGCGTGTGGAGGGAGAGATTTATCATCGAATCAACACCAAATGCGTGAGTGACTCAGCACCTGTTCCAGATATATGGGAAGTCCTATTACCTGTATCACAAAAAGGGAGAGAGAACTGGAACTACATACACCATGTCCCAAAGTTGGAGATTTCTCTTGATATGACTAGAGATTAACAACTTGTGTCCGAAGCGTAATCTAGCAAACAATGCTGTTTCACCGTGCAATACATCTAATAAATCAACTGAAATGGTAGTAATATGTTACCTAACTGAAGTAAATACATTTAAATCATATTTTATGGTGCTTAAAAGTGTTGTCATATGCATTGCTCTTGTATAATTTTTCGAAAAAGTTTGCCTTTGTGAGTAATAGGAAATGAGTAGACTAGTAGTGACCTGTTTGGAGTAGCTTAAATTAGTAGTTTTAGGTTTCAGATAAACTGCTGTGTATGTATTCACTTCTCATTTCCTTCAAAAAAAAAGAAATTCTACATGACATTTTTCATTTCATATCTTTCACTTACACTACGCCTATAAAACGTTTAGAAACATGGACTGATATTCTACTGTATCCGTTTCTGTGTTGAGCTGGATAATCAGAGTGTACGAAAAGCGGGCGCGTTAATATCTTATGGCTTAGAATATAGTATTTTGGATCGTTCAATAGAGTGTTAATTCACATATTTTTTAGACGATGACGTCTTCCGTTCATTCGTATGCTTAGATTTCGATGGTAACTATACTTATGGAGAGGTTTTTCACTTAAGTAGCTGGCTTCAAACATAATCAGCCTGTTTTATGCTGCAGTCTGTGATTACACAGAATCTGACTTCAAAACAAAATAAATAACAGCTGCCTATGTCAGTCCTTCAAAGAAGAAGCATTCACCTACATTATTATATCAACTTTTCGTCTTCAGAACATTGGAATGAAAACGTGGCTGTGGTTGATATGAGATAAACTTCAGAAATTTCAATTATTTCTCATTAACGTACGAGTTGCTACGGAAAAATTATTATTATTATTTGTCCCTTAGGTTCCTAGCGGAAAATAGGGCTTCAGTAGCACGCCTCCGTTGCACTCTGTTCTCTACAGTCCTTTGAACCTCGCTCCACGACTG